CGTCAAGTAGGATGAAAGTCTTTGGTTATGAGTAAGACAAAGAGGGTCCTACAAGTGGTGAGTTCACTCAAGAGGAGAATCGGCCATTCGTGTATCAGAAGCTGAACGCCATGCCGCCAGCCTGGAGCCAGGAAACATCCTTAGAGTCCACTTGCCATGCCCATTCTTCCTCGGTCCTTTCTGGATAGACAAGACTCCTCACATGAGTGACTTTGGGTACATACAGGCACAGGTTTGGGCATGGCCACGTGAGAGGATAGATTATATTCCGGTTGCCCTCTAAGACATCTGCAGGTGACATACGTTCATTCTATTCAAGGGCTCATCAGCCCTCGAATCAACTGAATAATCAGTTACTCTAAAGTGAGTAAGAAGACTGCCCATGTTTTGGTTACATTGGCGTGAAGCCCGTAAGGGGTGAGGATCTGAAGGAAGGCAGATCTGTGGTGACTTGAACTGACAAACATCCTCGGTCTGTCACTAGTGGTGGGGACCAGTTAAGTCATTCCAAGGTATTTCCAATAAACTACAAAATTTAGGTTTTGTTACTCAAAATTCTTGAGAATAACGATTATTAGGATCTGTGCTTCAACATTACTTTAAGGTTGACAGTGTTTTCCACACAAGAATATTGTGTTGTGGGTGACACAAGTGTTCTTAGCACCAGTGGATGTTGCTGTAAAGGGTGGAGATGGCTGGTGGCATGTGGTCCCTTCTACTACATAGTAGAGTTGAATTCATCTCAGTCCTTGAATCCATCTCCCTGGGGGATGGTTTAGGGCAGGAGTGGGAAACCTGCAGCCTCAAGGCCACATGTGGCCCTCTAGGTCCTCAAGTGCAGCCCTTCGACTGAATGCAAACTTCACAGAACAAATCCTGTTACTTAGATTTTATTATTTATTATTATACATAATAAACATATAGATAATAAACATGTTTTATGTATGTATATTTTAATATATATTATTTAGTATGCATTTAGTTATTTTAATATATTATTTATTGTATGCTTATTTATTTTAATATATAATATATATTATTTATTATTTAGGGTATGATCTTTTTCTTCCTGGAAAATTAATCAACCATACTGTGTTAGAGTGATGATCTCACTTTTTAGCCAGGGGCAATAAAATGGCACTCACATGCACATGGTATCTATTTTATGGAGCTGGTGTTCTCCATCCATCCTTGGCACTTCTCCATTTTATGGAATTCTTATCAGACAAAAAATTTGATATGGATGTTTTTTTTAACATTTATTGGCATCTACCATATGCCAGGCATTGTGCTGGATGCTAGAGACACAAAGAAATCACAATGGCTTGGAGCCCCAGTTAAACAGATTCCTAACATTGAGACAGGTTTGGCTCTGTCCTAATTTATGTTTTTGTGTATCTCTGTATCATCTAATCTCTGGCTTCTCCATATTTGAGGCAAAAAATAGGATGCAGGAAATATTTAGGTGAAAGAAGCAAGCAGAGCACGTTAGCATTTGTTAGCAGATGGGCACAGAGGGTGCAAGTCAAGGAGAAAGCAGTTCTAGGGGGTTTGTTTTTCCGGGGGCAGGTATTCCCTCGATCCTCGAAGAGTTGAATTCTACTGGTAGCTTCCTCCTGTGTCCACGTGCCAAGGTGCCCGCAGATGACCCAGCCTGATCTCCCTCTTAAGACTGCCACGATTCTACACTCCTGGGTTTCTATTTTCACTTGATCTTACGGCCCCAGTTCTTCCCATATTGGTTCCCCAAGTCTCTGACCACTTTGTAGTCCCCGATACTTTCTTTCTCTGTCTCTCAGGACTGCAAAATCCCAAGTCCCAGGGAGAAATGTCTCGGGGTTAAGAACCAATGGACATCCTGGGACGTGTAGTTCAAAGGGACAAGTGTTTCCTCTGGGCCCTGAAAGCATAGTGCTTATCAAGGGGCCTGGCCCATAGGAGGTGCTTGATAAATATTTATTGACTATTACTTTGATCTGAGAGCTGGGAGGTAGACTGAGTACTGCCTGGGAGTTCTTAAAAGGACATACACGAGTCTACTATTTATTCTTATTAGTAGGGATTAAATTTGAGGGGAAAAGGTTGTTAGAGAAAACTGCTTAACATGAATGAGGGAATTACTCCCTATCATAACGCATGGAGCCACAGGACTGGCTAGCTCCAGGTCTTATTAAGTAACATCAAGCTTTAAGGAATGAGTAATGCTGTTTAAAAACAAATAGCTGTTTACTACAGCTGTACTTTCTGAATGTTGTGTATCAGGAAAATGTGAACAAACCCACCCACTCACTACTGTAAAAGAATTAGGCTCCGTATTAGCAGTAGAATCTCTTTTCCATGGCTCCGACGGAGGACACAGGGCCAGTATCAGCATCTACCGGCTCATGAGCTGGCGGGTGGGGCTCCCTGAAGAACTCGCTCCCACCGATGGTGGTGCCACATAATCTCAGCTAGTATTTCTTCTCTTTGAATTTGGGAGTGAACTCTAATTGCTCTTGATCTGGAGTGGACGGATGTTGCATCTCAATAGGGCTGCTAGGAGGTGCAGATGAAAGTTAATGGATTTAGGGGCAGAGACGTGAGTTTGAATCCTACTGCAGACGGTAAACAGCTCTTGGGTGAATCTCATTACCTCTTTGCCTCAGTTTCCTCATCTGTAAAATGAGGATACTAGTACCTTCCTGGGTGGTTGTGAGGATACAATGAGATCACATGCTGCCCTATTAGTTCAGGATTTATTTTACTAAAGGGAAAGGGGAGGTGGACCTAGGTGGGGTAGGCGGCAGCAGGAATAAAGGGGAAAGGTCACCAGCTCTCCATCTGGCCTCCCTGACTCTGTCCTGCCCCCCCCCCCCCAGACTGACCTCCTTTGTGGTGGTTCCACCAAGACATAAAAAGTACGGTTGCTGCAGTGTATCATGGGAGTGTCAAAGGATGGTCAAAGCATCATGACTGGGCTGGGAAGCCACGGGTGGAGACTTTGAGGGTGGGGGGAGCTTCAGTGGATTGCTAACCCCTGCAACGGTGGCCTGGTGTGGGGCAGAACCGAGATCAGGGAGGTGTTCAGACTGGGTGCTGCACAAGCCTTCCATCCTTGGGATGTCCTTCCCTTCCCCAGGCTTCCATGGGAGTCTACAGGAAATGAGATGGTGCCTGTTAATGGGGGAGGGGGGAGAATTCTGTTGCTTGATTTCCCGTTTGGCTGACAATTCAATGCTTACTGTTGGATCTGTTTCTGGTTGGTCTGATGGCCAGAAGTCCTGGCCTGCCCACCCCCAAGGCCCAGAGCAGCAACAAGATCCCAGAATGGATTGGAACACCCACCACGTCAGAGAGAAAAGAAACAGTGAAGGCTGGCTACCTTCCTTCCCCTGGTTCTTTCTCAGGAAAATGGTCTTCTCACCTCGCCTCCCCCAGTGGTACTTGGGAAATGGATAAACATCAAAGGGGCCACTGCGTGAGAGGTGGAGGTCACCAAGCCCAACAGAATTAGCAGTGGGTCATGGCAGCCCAGAACAAGGGAGAGGCCAGTCCCGCTGCCCTCTAACCCGGCCACGCCACCCTTGGCAGCAGAAGCACTTCCTGGGTCCTGTCACCCAGTGAGCACAACCAGGGCAGTGGGAGGACTGGTAATTATTTCATAAAATGGCCCCAGGGCAGCATGGGGACAATTGGGAGCTATTGGGGAAGTGTAGGGGTTACACTCAACACAGAGAGCCTCCTAGTGACTAAAATGTTCCAGAAGGAGAAATGGCTGTTGGATGAGGTATCGGGGTGCCCGTCACTGCACAGGCCAGATGCCTGCTTCCTCCACTGGGGCAGAATGGTTTCCTCTTCGTGCAGGCACAGGACCCAATGACCCCTGAAGATCTATGAGTCTAAGACAAAGGGCAGTCACATGCTGTGCAGCAGCTCCTTCAGCAAAATGAATTCAGCAGCATTATTCCCCAGCGGGGCTCTGCTGGAATGTGGACGGCCCTGCCCTTCCTGGACCAGGGTTCTGAAGGCAATCAAAATCAGTTAAGGGGCCCTAAAGCAACCCTGGGGGTGCTTCACTAAGGTCCCTGCCCCCAACCCGGAAGCCCCCAAAGCTCACTCATCATCCTCTGTTCTCTTTCTGACTCCAGGAATGCCAGTGTGCACAGGACTCCTCCTACTGAAGCTAGAATCACACACCTCAGCCCTGGAAGGCACATCTCCCCACTCCAATCCTCCCACCCCACTCCAGGCCTTCTAGTGCAAGCCAGCCCTGAAGGACAAGCCCGCACAATCCATGACTTAGCCTTGGCGGGAGTCCTCAGATAGGAGGAGCCCACTGTCTCCCTCCCACTCTCAGAAAGCCCCAACGGTCAGACTGCATTTCTTGACATCCAGACTAGATCTGCCTCTCGACAAGCACCGCCCCCCCCAAGGCTCAGCCCACTTCCTGAGGGCAGCGCTGGAAGCCCCAGCCCCCTGACTGAGGTCCAAACGTTCTCAGTCCCTTCCAATATTCAACGCTCTTCTCCAGCCCTGCTGCCCTTCTCAGGGCACCCGTTCTTCCTAAGAAGTGGAGCCCAGAGCTATGCAGGAGAGTGCTGCAGTCACCTCCCCAGGCCTGGGCACTGAGGAGCCCACGACTCCACCCGCTCTTTTGGGCTGCCAGAGTCCACCAAACCTTCCAGTTCTTTTTCAGATGGCCATCTCACTTCGCCTCACTCGTGGGACTTTTTTTACGAGTTTTCTCTTTAAACCTCTTCCTCCATCCCTTCATTTCCAGAATTCTACCTCTTAGCTCTCCCTCCCAGTTTGGGTGCCCTGCCCATTTGACAGGCTTACTGTAGATGCTCATGGATATCTCTAGCTTGTACACCCAGGGGAGACACTGGGTTCAGTCTGGACCCTAAGGGTGGTCCTGAGGGTGTCAGTGCTGGTCCCAACAAGGTATTCCATTTGGGAGCATCATTGACTGCCTAGGCCCCGCCACCAAACCTCGTTCTCCCCAAAGAAAACACTGCTTGTGAGAGCTCATTGACTTTATCACAGCCACAGGACTAATTCATACACACAGAACATGGATTTCATGCATATAGCTTGTGTCTGGGACACTGGCAAGAACATTTACACCGATTACATTTGGGGTTCTTTGACCAATTCCTGAAAGATTCAGTAACACTGGGAATTTCACTCCGATCCTGTACCATGCACTGGAAATAAATAATACCCTCAAACAGCTGTCTGACGTGTCCTCTGTAAAGGTGGTGTTACCTCCATTGTGTCTTTCCAAAAATTCCACGGTCTATTATTTTCACTAGCAAAACGCACAATGAATTCCATCCAAGATGAGTCTAACTTATCACAGTTACTGGTGGAACCACCAAAAATTCTAAAGAACATAACGTTGGGGTCAGGATCAAGATCAGGTGCAGTTTACCTTCCTGGTAAACACTCATCTTGGGCAAATCCTGCAGGGTTTCATTTAATTAAAAAGCTGCAAAAGAGAGAAAAAAATATTAAATGCTGCAAATGATGACAGCCTCATCCCCAAACCCCAGAACCAAGAAAGCTTTTCAAACTTATTCCATATTAAACATTCTCCCCCTCCCCCTGCAAATGTCAAAACATCTAATTATAAAATCATTTAGGACACAGTGGAAGGCAACTGTAGACAACAAATGACATTTGAAAATAAAAGCTGAGCTGTTCAATTCAGTGGCAAAATCCTTTTACTGGCTCTGGAAGGGTAAACACGGAGGGTAGGGAGGTGGGGCTAGAGGTCACTGAGGGGAAAGGTTGAGGGAGATGTGGCTACGGGCAGGCGGAGAGGCCCCTAACAGGTAGAGAGGCTGTGGGCAGGTGCAGAAGCTCCAGGCAGGCACTTGCATTGGGAGAAGGCCCCTTTGAATGGGACTTGTTAGGAACACACATGCATTTTAAGGGTCACAAAATTTCACTATGGCTGTAGCTATTTATTTGGTGACACATGCCAGCCAAGGCGAAAGGCCCATTGTGGCCAGTAGCATACCAGGGGCTAGACACAGGGCTTATTCTGGTCTGGAGTCACCCACACAGCCGAGCCTCTCCACATGGATACCGACACAGAACATGACTGGACTCAATTCAATTCCACACGCACCGACTGAGGGCTTGCTTCAGGAATGGCCTGCACGGTGACAGGAGCATTTAGCCAATATTCGTATTGGCAGGAGTCAATGGAGAAGGTAACATTCGTGAATTTTCAATTCCCTCACAAAGCATGGATACATGTATAAATCAGATTTTCTGAATTTATGAACTACTAAAAACAAGTTTATGGGAAGGTTTACTCATTTTCCTGTTTGGAATGGATAGCTTTCTGCCGAACCATATAATCCCGACACAATAGAAGAAAACCGTAACAAAGAGACAGCCTGTTACTGCCTTTCCTGCCTATGTTTTGAGTACTTTTTTTTTTTCAAACAAAGGTTAAAAAGTTAAATTTACAGAGACTAATTCATTAAAAAATGAAAGACTAACATCATGTTACGTCACTTATTTTCAATTTCTCCATTTGGAAGATGAATTTGGAGTCAATGAGGGGTTCTTAGCCAGAGGGGCTGACACCTTGTTTAAAAAATCTTTGGCATTTCAACGTATTTGGTCTCAAAACTTTTTAATTCTATCTTATTTTATGCCTTTAAAACCATGATTCTGAGAAAGGGTCCATTGGCTTCACCAGACTGCCCCTGGGAACGGACACACGCAAAAAATTGGTGACAAAGCCCTGACTTAAATAATGTCATTTCAACGTAAAGAAATGGATTCTATACGCTTGAGGCCTTCACTTATGGCCCACGCTGGTGATTTATGAGGGTGTGTGCCAGCCTGGAGAGGTTGGGGGCACAGGCCTGGCCACTGACCCCATGGGAGGAAGCCCAGACTCCCTAACTTCACTCCTCTGGAGGTTGGTTCAAAATATTTAAAAACATGTAAAATATTGCCCAAAGAATCTCACAAGTAGGACAGCATCTCAAAGCAAGAAGAGCTTATCATGGGGCACGGTGGGTAACTGAACCCTCAGGGAAGGGAAGTGGCTGCTCAGCTTTGCTGCAGAGCCTAGCAGGGATGTCAGAAGACCTGGCACCCAGCCATCATTTGCTCTTTCTCTTATTTGCATGATTAACCACCCACACAGGCACCCACACGCCTTTGGGCACAGAAAGACCCTGCCCCCTCACACGGGCTCCTCCTGTGCCAGGTCCAGCTGCTTGAGGAGTGATTTAAGGCCCACGTCTTGGGCAGAAATCACTGGGCACTTGTTGCTGAATCTAAGCCTGCCCGGCACACCGATTATTACCAGCTGCCCTGTGCTTGAAAGACCTACAATGCCCTGCATCCATCCAGCTGTGTGCTGCCCCAAGTCAGCTCCTCCCCACAGGGCATCCATAAGGGCCAATGGGTCCTGATGGGGGCCCTTGGATGATAGGGCTGGGATAGGCCTTCAGGGCCAGCGTGAGAGTTTTGTGGTTGTAAAGGAGGGGCCACTGGAGAGCCTCGTGGAGTCTGCGCAGCTATAGGGGTGGCCTACTGGAGGGCTTTCCCTGGAGGTATCCTTCTGAATAAGGCTCTGCTGGAGGCACTTGAAGCCATCTGTGGCCCACACTGCCTGTCTAGGCTGGATGAGACCTTTCATAAGCTCACACACAGGGAAGGGTGGAGGACAGGACTGTCCCCATCTTTTGACACTGTGAAGATGAGAGGTGCTCAGGGGCAGGGCCCCCAACCAGCCAGTACATAGGAAGGCTGACTGGCCCTAGTTAAACCTGGTGTCCCCAGGACACCACCATCCCCAGCATTTCCTAATCCAGCTCACGTTCTGGTCACCCGTCACTTGTTTAAAAAGGCCAGCCTGAAGCTGCCCTAATGGCTCACCGTGCCCTATGTTAAGGAGTCTCCTGTGAGACTCCCCCTAAGAAGTGGAGCCCAGAGTCCACTTGGCCCCATGCTGCTCCCTGGATGGCCCACCTAAGCAGCGCCAGCTTCTGGGTGCCCAGTGCCTTGACTTGCTCCTCACAACAGAAGTGCAGTAGGTTGATTCTGAGGCACCTACAAAGCATCGGCATCTGGCTCCTTCCTGACCCCAGAACCAAGTTTTCCCACATGTCGTTGGCTGTTCTTGCCTATTCCCACCTCTGCACCAAAGCAGTCAAGGTTACGGTTTTTTGTTTTGTTTTTTCAATTTGGACGGCTGGTCAGATTCCCCCGGCACCTGTTCTGGATCTCCACTCATTGCACCTTCTCCACAGGGGGGTCTTCTGAGAAGACCCAAGGCACCTGAAGAGGTGGCTCTGGGTGCCTCTGGATGCCCAATCACCCCAGCGTGGCTGGGTCTCTGCCTGCCTTCCATGTTGCCACCACTCCCGTCTGTCCTGGTGTTTCCTCGCTAGCAAGCCAGGCATGCCAGACATATCTGCATGGTCACTGTACAAGAACTGTACATTTCAAGTGCCCACAGCTCAGTTACTGCTTCTATACAGCTGAACAACTGTGGCTCCTGGCCCCCCCCATCCTCTGTCCCCTTTCTGCCTTTCTGACACGGTCAGCACAGAAGTGGAAGGGCAACAAAGGCCTACAGGCCATTTCAGCAGCCTCCAGGAGACAGCTACTGTGAGCTGAGCCAGCCGTGGAAAGCAGGTGCAGGCTAGGGATGAGGTCCTTCCGGGCTGGGAGGCTCCCCCATGGCTTGTACTCTGCCAGCCTGACTTCCATGATGGAGCACTGTAGTAGGCAGGCTGGAGTCTCTCAGGGACAGGCCATTCCCATTCTCATCCCCCAAGGGGAGTGACAGCCTTCAACATGCTTGGACTACCTCAAAACTTGGGGGCTGGGGCCCTGCTTGCCATTCTTCCCCTGGACGGAGGTAGCCAGGGTCAGCAACAAGCCTCCATTCAGAATGAGACTGGCAGGACCCTTGGAAGGCAGTCCGAAGAGGGTCATCTAAGGTTGAATGCCAGCAGCAGACCAACCGCCAGAAGTACCATCGGGGAATTTTGAAAAGAACTTTGACGAGTGAGTCCGACAGGGCCCTAAGCCTCTGGGAGTCTGAGGCCCGGGTCACACAACCCACTGTGGTAGTGACACGGACTGGCTCTACTGCAGGGGTGTCGTGGCCTCTGTGGTCCCTTCTGGCAGTTCTGACCGAATGCCCCATGAAAGGAACCGCTGCTGGCCAGTCCTTCTTAGGTGGCAGAAGTCATCCAAGGCAACAAGGGAAGGGCGCGCCCCAGCACCTGTCTCCTTGAGGGCACGGGAGGGTCAAATGAGGAGCATACGAAGTTCTCTGCAAACCCTCTGGCGTTCTCCAAACCCACTTCCAGTCTTGGATCACAGAATCTTCATCACTTCTGTCTTATTCCTCCTTCCTGGACTCTTAGTTCCCAGACACATTTTTAGCCCGTATGTCTTATCGACTCAACAGGGTTGGGGTGCGGGGTGCAGAGGGGAACACAGGAGAAGAGCTGCATTTCCAGCTAGGAAATGACTCCATCTCATGGCTGACTTTATTTGCCTTCTGTTCTGATGTGGATTTGTTACATACCAAAGGCACACAATCATTCCTTTCTGTTTACAGGGGCGTGCAATGGAAACTTCTCCACATCTACCTGTCTCATCGTTGTGATAGACAGACGTGATAGACAGTGTAACGAAAGGCTCTCACGCAGTTATGCTTCTAATATCTCCTAATGTAACTCATAAAAGTGCATGAAATGCCTGGATGTCACCCGAGCCCAGTAAAAAGACAAGCAAAAAACGGGACTTATTTTGAAAACATGCCTAGTTCTATGCCATCCTATTCTCGGAGCTTCTTGGAATGGGCAGTGGGGGGTGGGGGGATGGGTCTTGCTTTTTCCGGCCTCTTGACTAACCACACTCACTCCCACCTGTTCTCATGGCCCTGATTTTCCCTGGTTTTCCTCCAGCACTACCATCTTTCCACAGGCCTTATGGCCTGAAGGGCCTTAGCCAGCTCTCCAAGAGGAATTCTTTCCTGACTCAGGTCTCAACTGGCCCCCACCCTTTAAGGCTTCTGATTCTGCCTTCTGCTCCAAAGCCTCCACTGTCACCTGGGGCAGCCCCCTCCACTTTTGGGGAACTCTCTCTTCAGAAAGATTTCCTTATTGCACCTTTTAAACATGTCCACAGCCTTTCCCTTCAATTCAAGAAACAATTCAGCAGCTGGCTATTCCGTACCAAGCCCTGGGAGAGGGGCTGGGTAAGCGAAGGGAAGTCTCAACCTGCCCCGAGGCTCCTCCAGGAGCTTACTCCCCTCTCTGAGGGCACAGAAAACCCCCAGATGTGAAGGTAAGGGACAAGGTAATTCCAGGAGGGAGATGGCATTACCAACCGGGGGCAACGACACTGGCCCTCTTGGAGCGGGTGGCAGAACGGCAGTGACAAGGCTGGACTTTCTAGCGTCCATTCAGATGGGACCAAGGCTAATTCAGAGAAGAG